AACAGATACCGGCGAGGATTCGGAGAAAAGGGAACACTTCTACACTGTTGGTGGGAATGCAAACTTGTTCAGCCTCTATGGAAAACAATATGGCAATTCCTAAAAGAACTAGAAATTGATCTTCCATATGATCTTCCTTCTGGGAATATACTTGTAGGAACTTCAATCACTCTACAAAAAAATGCATGCTGATGCATGTTTATTGCAGTGCTATTTACAATAGCAGAAACATGGAACCAACCATGCTGCCCATTGAAATTGGACTGGATTTGAAAAATGTGGTACATACACACGATGGAATATTATGCAGTCATAAAGAACAAAATTATGGACTTCATAGAAACTTAGATGGATTTAGAGTCTATAATACTCAGAAATAAAGAACTGAGTACCACATGTACTTCATTCATAAGCGGGCCCTGAACTTTTACAATAATAATATAAGAAAGGGATTGGCAGTAGCCAGAATCTGTTGTGGGGGGGGGGCATATAACATTAATAAGGGTACTTGATCTCAAACCAGGTGAAGTGGGGACCAAAGGGAGGCCCAAACTTCATCTGTATGGTGACTATTTGTATACCCAATCTTGAATTGTACCCTACATCTTTAAAATTTTAAAAAGAGCAAGATAAAAAAAAAAACCTATTTTTTTTTTTCTGGATGGAAGATGAAGGAAGGTGGATGTGGTGGCTATTTGTTCTGGTCTTTGAAGACTTATATAATGATGGAATAAATATTAGGCAAGAAGGGAGTGAGGTGGGAGATGGGGAGGAAAGCATTGGGGCAAAGGAAACAGTTTAAGAAAAGATACAAGTGGGAAAATAAGCTGGTATAGGAAAGTTGAGAGACAAATGTGAATCAGCTTGCCTGGATATGGGACACACAGGTGGGCAAATAGGTTAAGCTGGCAGACTGTGGTAAGTGAAGCCCATTGAAGGCATTTTTTGAGTTGAGCAATGACATGATCTCATTCATATTTAAGAAGCGAGTACTGATAAGAGTGCATTCAAATAGACAGATGAAATACTGGCACAATGCTAAAAGACACTAAAATAATTCAGATTAGAAGGAAGGGCCTGAGTGAAAGGGGAAGACTATAAACCTTAGGGGTAAGAATTAGCAGGTTTTCCAAACGAGGAAAATGGAGGAGGCAAAAGTGCCTGCAAAGCTTAAGTTTAGTGACAGGAGTAATGATGGCAACATGAAGCAAAAGGAGGAGCTTGGTGATTATGTTGATCTGCAGGAATGGTCTTGGATATTTGAGTCAATATGATATCAGGTGTCCAGGAGGTGTCTGGAAATATGTGCATTAAGCTGGAGAGAAAGGTAGGGTCTAAGAATGAATATTTAGAATTCACCTTCATTCAGAGTCATTGAAGTTGTGGAAGACAAAGGGATTGCTACAGAAGCATGGAGATAGGGAGAAAAAGACGGTCAAGCTCAGAACACCATCGCAAGTCAATGCCGATGGCATAGGAGGAAAAACCAGTGAAGTGACAGAAACCCAGAGAATAAAATTAAAACCAGAATGCGCTGCCTCCCAATGGTAAGTTTAGGTTATGGTCAAGGAGGCTGAAGAGCAAGGAGAGAAAATAAAAAAGACTATTGACAAGAATTTCATTGGAATGTTGCCAGAGAGTAGGGTGTGGTCCAATGATAAAGCCATAACATTAGACGAGGAAGTGAAGAAAGTGAAAATGCAAAGATAAACAGAGATAGGACAGGAATTCAAGAGTTGAATTGGGTTAAGAGAAGATTTTCTTTAGAGATGGTTGTAGGATTTACTTATTTATTTTTTGAGATGGTTGCAGGTAGATGTGTGAAAGGGATTAAGGATATGACAGAGAGAAGTACTCTTGGCTGGACAGCACCTCAGATGAAGGCAGAATGTGGGTATCAGAGCACAGGGAAGAGAAGCACAGAGTTCAGAGTCGAGAGAAAGGATGAAAAAGATGAGTGAAGGATAAGAAAAACGCAAGGGCACAGAAGAGTGGCAAGTGAGGATTCCCTAATCAGATATCTTGGTAACAGTAGGAAACATTGCCTGTTGAAAAAGAGGAGATGAAAACAAAAGGACAATGAAACAAAATGAACACTTAGAGAACGTGACATGGAGTCAACATGAGGAAATAAAAAAGTTGTTCAAGCTGAGTAGGGTTCAGGTAAGGTTAGATGGATTGAATTTGTGCTTTTCAGCATAGGTTTAAGACACTTCCTCCTGGAGATGAAATGGGTGATGGGGGAAGGGAGGCAGCGTTAGATAAGCAAGGTTGGTGTAGTGACAAGGCAAGAAGAAGAGAAAACTGCTGGTCAGACTATTGTTGATAATGAGTGAACACAGGGGTAGACCAAAGAAGGAAGTCAGTGAAACCAGATGGGTTTATGGACGAGAACAACAGAGGACTTGAAGAAAAACAGATAAGATATAGAAAATGCAAGGTTGTGGTCGGAGAGGAAATTTTAAAATTTCAGAGTTTTAGCTCTGAGAGGTATAATAATTCCAAAAGAAAGGGTCCAGAGTTGGCCATGATATAAAAGCTGAATTTCTGTAGTGTTTTTTAAAAATAATACATTGAACATCTTTGACTCATACCCTGAAACCAGAAAATATTAAATCTACATGTATAGTCATACAAATGTATGCACACCTATTCATACATACATTTAAATATTTTATACTTACGCATTCATATATTCTATGTGAGTATAATATACTCCCTTTAAAAATCTTTTACATCCTCCATAAAACTACCCAGGGACATGGTATGTGCTGAAAAGACATTGGCTTAATTGAACTAACATATCTAACCAGAGCTTTTGTTTTTTTCTCCTGCATAGTACTAGAATCTGCTCCACCCCCTAAATCACAACACTAAAATAATTAAGGATAAAGAGAGTTCAGGTTTAAAGTGTAAAAAACAAATCTTTAAAATAACGGTTTTATAATAGGTTTAATGATGTGCTGCTTGATTGTAAACTTAATCCTTGCGCCTAGTTCCATTTCTTTTACCTTTGCCAAAACACAGATTCTGCATTCTGGAATGCCAAGGCTCTGAGAAATTCTATTCGTCCACTCTGTGTTTCACCCTCAGTTCTCCTTAGGAGCCCTCACTTTCATAATCACACCAGCAATAATATTTGAAAGCGTGAAACAGCACCAGAAACTCACCACGACAAGCTCTGAGTTGGATGCAAATGGACAGAAAAATGAACTTTCTATCTTTTCTAACTTATTCCCAGTACTGCTGTCCTAACCCATTACTCTTTGAGCAAAATTCTTTTTTCTTTCTTAAATATTGTAACCAAGAGGACTTAAACTTCACCAATTTCTCCAAGGCATGGAAATAGCAGCACTGACTTTCATTTAAGGTTTTTGGTGGGTACCTTTGTCATGGGGATAGATAGGCTATGCATTCTCAGTCATAGGAATCATAGGGCTCCTATGCGATTCAGTCAATGTGATTGGAATGGGATGAGGGTGGGATATATTCAGATATCCTTTGATTTTATATAAGACTGGAACCTTCCAAACTAGAATGGAATCCTAAATCTAGACCAATATTAGAAGTTATCAGACTGACTAATCTGCATTTTAGTGTCGTCCCAAACATCTGATTGACCAAAAGAATAATTGCTTCACAGGTTAAGTAGCAGCTGGGAGTCAAATGGCTTCTTTACAGTTAGTATGTGTTGGGATAATTGGGTACCCCCTTAAGGAGGTGGGAAGTATAGAATACAAACTTTGTTAATTGGAAGATTAATTGGATTGGGACAGAGAACAGACAATTACAGTAACTTTTTATTATGCCACTAATCCAAATGATCTTTCCTCTTGTCTACTCAGTAAGCTGTCATGGAGGAGAAGCATCATTCTTCCATTTTCTATGGAAAGGGTCACAGTCTTTAACCTGCCCTACAAGATATTGAATTTGGAAATGCATAAATTACATACCCATATGACTTTATTGAAAATAATTCCTAGCTAGGAGCCTTATTCAGGTGCTATATTTTTAAATAAAAGCAGGTACAGGAAGAAATATGGTATAAATGTCTTTACTTTCCAGAACTTGTGCCCGTGTTACCCACTGTATTACTCTTAGGGCTCTCTGCTCTCTCCTTCTTCTCATGTATATAACTTATTCCCAGGAAAAGGAATGAGAATCCTAATGTACATTAGGTGTTTAAATGTATAAATCCCTAATATGGCTTAATATGTCACCTTTCCTGGGCTTTCATTTGAATGACAGATGAGCAGCTGAGCTAAAACAACACAATCTGTATGAGAAGCCAGTAGTTGAAGTGGAGTGGGGAATGACAAAGAAAGACCTTTTCAAGACCTTGAAATACACAGACCACATGTAAGGCCAGACTCATCCCAGTGTGGCTGTCCACCTTTAGCTGCTTCTCCTCCATAAAGAGTTCCTTAGACAGGAGGAAGAGTCTCTGACACCCAAGTGAAGAAACCCAAGGCTCTGCTGTAGTGTTTAGCAGCCTACAGAGCATACATTTCCTATATGGCTTTGGGCTCAGAAAGCACATAAGGTATGGCCACAATGAAACACCAAATACATTCATCAATAGCACTGCAGTTACATCATTTATGCGCACATCTGAATCATTCCTAACACACCCAAACAGACACACACAGGGTGTCAAGCAATGACAGCGTTTTTTCAGAGAGATAATTAAAAGAATAAAGTGGGTTCTAGAATGGATTTTTTCCAAAGGCTATTGCCCAATCTGGTTATTCTGTCCCCAAATCTTGAACTAAAAACCAAACAAAAACAAAGAAACCCTAGTTCTTAAATGAGATGTGCAGGTGTCCAGCACTCTGCAGAGACTCTTCCCTTGGGCAATTCCGGATGGCCACGGAAGACTGGGTGAATGATATTCACTTAACTTTATAGACAACTGTTATTGTGTCACATCACACATGCATTTTGGCACTACTGATACCAGCAACATTTAATGGAATCATTTGGGATTTCCCCCCCACAATCACAACATGGCTGTGGCCGGTACAGGGAATACACATTAAGGATGTCTCCCAAGTTCTGGCTGAGGATACACAGTGACACACTTTGGATTAACAAGGTCAACTGTACATGCATCACTTTGAGGGGTGTGCACATTTTTGACTCAAGCAAATTCAAGAGTCAGATTATTGTGGTCACTGGAAATGCTGAGATTTAAGCACTGCCACTGAAAGGAGTGATATAGGACCACACCCACCAACCAATTCTGCCATGGAAGGGAACGATAGAGGGTACAAAGAGAGAAAGCATGGTTTCTGAAGAAAGCGGTAATATTAGGTGCTCCTGAGGATATCTGTAGAATCTCACAGTTTTAGATGGATTGGGTATTTGTTCATCCCCATCTGCGATATAGCTTGAGCTTACAGCTGAATTATTCCTCGTGCATTTTACTGGCTTGCTATTCTGGAATTAAGCAACATCTAGAAATTAACAATGCTTTATCCTTCCTTTCTTTAAGCTTTCTTGAGCAGACCATGAATATCTCACTTGGTTCCAATAGAAATATTCAGTTGAAGAAAAAGTCATCAATAGGGGCCAAATAAGGGGTTTAGAAAAATGAAATTATCCAGCTGACAGCTTTCATGATGGGAGGATAGGAAAAAAAATGTAACGTAATATGCTGGGTAAATGGATTTGAAAATCTCATCCTGTGGTAAAGAGAGAGAGAGGTTGCCAACCTCCACAAAGCCAACAGTCTAGTGTAAGAAATTCTATTTGTCTGGTTTACCCAAGGCCAGGTTATGAACACCTGGCTCAAGGCCAGTAGCACCTTCCTGATGGCAGTAATGAAGGCAAGGCAAATAAAGAGCCACTATTGGCACCATCCCTCGCATACCCACCCTCTTACCTCTAAAACTCACTTCAACAGCCTTTCAATGGGAATCATCTTGCCACTGAGTTTTGAGTGGACCTGGTCATCTTTTTCAGAAAAGCATGCAAACATGTAAGACGCATATCCAGCGCTACCTCTCTGTAACAAGGTACCTCATGCTTCAAAAATTACAGTCAGTGGAAATTCCCCAGGTGTGCTTGAAGGACTGACCTTTAAGGGTGGGGGTATAGCAGGGAGCAGGTAAGTGCTGGGTACTGGGGAAAAAAGAGTCTGACGACTGAGATGCTTGTTAAACATCAGAGGAGGCTGCTGTGAGATTTCTCAGGATTGAGCTTCCTGAAAGCTTTCAGCCACACCAAGAATGGGAGGTTAATTTGACCTCTATTCTGTTTTAGGCTCTTTGGGGACTCTTTCCTACCCGAGGTACTGACAGAGAAAATATGGTGCCACCAGCCTGTCTTCACATGGAATGCTGATAACCTAGGGTCTACCGAGAAGACAGGAGTTAGACCTGGGGTTTGCTTAGAGTCAAAGCAAGATCCCATGCAAATCCCAGGCCAAAGTGCATGAACATTTCTCACAGACCAGTAAGAAGATGGTTTGAGGGGGATGGACACAAATTACTTTCCCCTGGCTTTTTCACCAAAGTGGCCTCCATTGGCATACACTATTTCCAGATACCCTGAAGCAAAAGCCACACAAAACAATTCCCCCAGTGGAAAATGAAAACCCATAACAAAACACTTTTTTCCCCCTCATTCCCATCCCCACCCCACTCCCTCCAGCCCAACACCCTGAATACTCACAAGAGAACACTTTATCTATACAAAATTAATTAGAAAACAAAATATTTACATATGAAATAAACACCATCTTGATTTCTGTCGCCAGTGGAGACTGAAAGAGCCCCCTTGGTTCTAGATTGCTGTTCGCTAGGTTAGTTGGTTTGGTTTTTTATTTTTAAGGGGTGAGGTAAGAGGAAGATGAGGGGATGAGCCCGACTCGTGGACAGAGTCAGGTTGAAGCGATGTTTACATGGCCCTTCGCCTTCTTCCTCCTGGAGATGCCTCACGCCCTCTGTCCTCTCTCTCAAAGTCTTTCCTTGAATCTAAGGTAAAGCACTCCGTGCTCCTCTCTCCAAATCTGTGAGAGGTTCAGCCCCTTGCCCCCACGTTCATTTTAGAAAGAAAACAAAGCTTTACAAGGCCTTCGGTTGGCTTTAAAATGAAAGATACTGAGGTAAAACTCAAGGAGGAGGGTGAGGGACAGCAGTCAAGGGCGGGGATAAGGAAGGGTCACGCGTCAGGGCAAACAGGAAGGCAAAGAGCAACCCTGGAGGGTGTGACTTGAAGAGACATGGCAGCTTCCTTCCAGAGGAGAATGAGCACCTTTCTGGTTTGTGTGTCCTGTGTGCAACATGGCGGTCCTGCAGTCAAGCTTCCAAACAGACCTGGGGCTCTTTGGATGCCACCCTGTGTAGCGGAGGATGGCAGGACAGTGGAACTGACGCACAGAACCCCTCTACCCCCAGTTTCAGGACCAGCGGTGACAAATATTCATTTCCCTTCTCGGTTTTCCAACTTTAAGGGAAGGGGGCATCACGTTGGCCAGCATTCTCATCCCTGGAGCTTTACACATATATTTCTTAAATTCTCGAACGGTACAAGCTGAGAGGAACAGGAGGTGTTACAGGAAGGTGGAAGGGCTCGACCAAGAGTGTTCACTCTGGGCTCAAGTCACATTCCCAGGGAGCCAGGCCCAAAGGGATAGCGGAGAATCCTTCCCCTCCTCCTCTCCCTTCCCCCTCTTCCCAGTCTCTCCCCTTCTCTCCTCGCCTCCTGAGCTGTACTCCTGGAGGCGAGCTCATTTCTCTTAACCGTCTTTTCCACATCAATTGTAATCAGTTCTGGGGAAAGAAGCCCACTCTTCCAGCATCAGGTTAAGTAAGAAGGGATCAAAGCATTGGAAACATCCCCCTCTCTCACTTACCCTACCAGAAACAACTCCTCTCTTCTTCAAACCCTTACTTAGCTCCTCCCCAAACCTTGGCCAGTTGAGGGTGTCAAATCTCAGAAGAGCTTTATAGAATCTTTTGCTCTCCAGTGTGGGCAAAAGAATCACAGCTGTTTATGTTTCTCTATAGCCTTCCTTCCTGGAAAGTTCTTGGCCTAACCTGATTGTAACAATTGGCAATCACTGAGGAATGATTTTTGTACCTAGCTCTTGCAGGATTGCCTGCCACCTTTCTTGTCTAGACCACAGACTCTTCTTTGTCAAGAACTTCCATCCTCATTCAGGAAGGGTGAAGGGGAGAGACAACCAAAATTCAGGTAACACATGACCATCTCTGTTTGTATATAAGCCAAAACAAGTGCACTGCTGAAGGGTGGTGAAAGAAATGACCTAGCGAGTCAAGGTTGCCTTCTACACATTTAGAGGCACCTGACTACACATGTGTGCAAGTGTACGTAGACATACATGCACACACGATTCACCTGCTCTTGCCTCCAACACACCGTTTTAATGTACTTTCCAGTTTGTTCAAGAATCCACTCCTCCACCAATAGCCTTTTCTAGTTCACTACTCTCAAGTCTCATGAAGTTGAAGCAAACATTTTTTGGCTTATATATAAACACACATGGCCTCCACCCTCTGCTTGGCACATAATCCCTAGGCAGATGTCTTCTAAGCAGCAAGAATTTAGCCAAAGTCTTCTTTCAATCCCAAGCACTATGCTAAATGGTCTCACTTAGATGCTTTTGCTTCCTCACCTAAGCAAAAAAATTCAGCTTGGGAGAAGCTACCTCTGTGCTCACGTGGCCACCGTTTGGTTCTCCGAGCTTCCCTCCAAGTCGGTGGCAAGGAGCTTTTCCACACGGGAAGAAAGCTCACATGCGGTACTTCCTCTCTCCCGCTCCACTCCACCCTCCCCTGCCTAGGGGGCCCCCTACAGCGTCTCGTGGGAACGGGAATGGCTGACAGACGGGGGAGGAGGAAGAGAAGTGCGAAAAGGAGGAGAGATGGTGCTGGTCACCAGGGTTGCCCTCAGTCGGAACCAGAACTACAGGATCCCATAAATAAATTAAAACAACAAGAAAGGAGCAAATGGGAACCAAGTTCACCCCCGTCACCCTCCGTGACATGCGCACCACACGACCCACAGCCTTACCCTCCCATACCCACCTTCACCTCTCTCTTCCCTCACTCAGACATCAGACTCAATACTAGAAAGTTTCTCATAAACATGCCCATTGCTGGAGCCATTGAAAGCCCTGGGGTTTTTGTTGTTAGGCACACAGGGGTTGGACTGGTTCCCTATACAGATGTCCTTCTGGAAACGGCCTGGCACAGCCCCGTGAAGGGCCGAGACCACCGGCTTGTTGGTGACAAGGGCCCGGAAGTCTGGCCTGGCTTTCGACGCCCCCGCCACCGTGGGCTGCCTGAAGAAGTAGGATTTGCTGCCATGGAGCAAGCACTGGTCGTCCCCAAAAGTGGGGATGAAAGGGTTTTGCGTGACCCGGTCAGGGTAGAGCGACTTGCTGAGCATGTAGCCGCCGCCAGGGTTGTTGTGGTGGTGGTGTCCGGCAGTGGGCACTGAGGACTTGTTGTTGGCAAAGGTGCTCTCACCGGCTGGCATCTCAAACATGTGGGCGTAGGGGCTGCCATCCATGAACCGGCCTTTGTCTTTCAGGCTAACGCTGCGGGGGGCCAAGGCAGCTTCTTCCTTCTGCAGATCCACGAAGGTGTCGTAGGAGTGCTGCCGGCGTAGTTTGTTCCGGTTCTTCTTCTGGGCCTTGGAATTGGTCGGGCTCTGAGGGTACTTGGTGGTGGAGGCATTCGAGGTCACCGCCACTGGGGCAGCCGGCTGGTCCAGTTCCTGCAGGGAGTTGTCCTCGCTGATGTCATACAGGTTACCCGCTTTCTTGCAAGCCTCACACCGGATGCACGCCTGCCTGCCCGAGTTCTGACCTGTCACGGTCGTGGAGTAGTTGTGCAGCTTGGAGGGGCAGCTGCGACAGAAGTTGCCCCCGGACCGGTCCTCCCACTCCACGTTGGTCAGGTTCTTTTCCCAAGGTGCCGGTACCCCACTGACCACGCCGTGTTTGTCGCCTGTCGTGTGTTTGAGGTGGGACCTGTTGGTACAGGGCCCTCCACCACTGACCGAATCGCGCTTAAAGTCATCACTCCGCTCCTTGTAGATGTCGGTCAGGTCCACGTGCTCCCAGTGGGGTGAGTTCTCCTTTGTCCGGAACTGGTCCAGGTAGAAGTCCCGGAGCCCTTCCTTGTCCCTGAAGTAGCGCTTGTGGTCAGGGGAGCGGGGCGGTCGGCGCCGGTAGGCCAGCTCGATCTCATCAAACTCCCGCCTGGACTTGGCCGACGCTGGCCGCTTCTTCAGGCTGTCCTTATACTGCTGCTTGCGCCTCTTGGCAGCATTGCCCTCGATGTTCCCATAGGTGACTGTGTGGGTGGAGATGTCCGAGACGTCGGAGCGGATCAAATCATCATGACCACTGTAGCGGTCGCTCTTGAAGGAGAACTTGCCGTACAGGTCACTCAGCTGGCTGTGCTTGGAGGACGGCAGGCCGATGTCCAGGGGCTTCTTGCTGATGGACCTTGGCTGGGTGGTGAAGGGCGGGTTGTCACAGTCGTAGAGACCGTCGATAGAGCTGGCACTGCCGATGCTGTGGGGCCGGTGGTGATGGTGGTAGTGGTCTTGGTACACATTGCTGTCCTTCAGCTGCAGGTTCCCAAATGTTCTCTCCACCTCACTGATGTAGTCACTGAAAAGGTTCTCCTCACAGGGCGGGTTGTTGTAGGACTTGCAGTCGGAATGTGTGAAGCTGCGGCGGTGCTCTGAGATATCATAGACGGACGACTCACGCCGTATGAAGTCCAGCGCACTCTGCGGGGAGCCATTCACCCCCGACAGGTTCGCCATGTTCTTGGCGGTGCGCAGCAGGCGCAGGATGTTGGAGTGTGTGTTGTTCATGGTCGCAGTGGGGGAATTCATCACGGACTGGCGCTCCTCGATGGCCACTCCATGGATGCAGCTGTAGATACCCTGAAGTCAGAACAGGATGGGTCAGATGAAGTCTCCAGAGAGGCTGAACATGACTATAAAGAACACTCTCTCACCACAGATTGCCTAACTGGATAAGAAAGAGTCAAGGAAGGCATGGCCCACACAATCTAATATACTCATAGAAAGATGTGCTAGAAGCTTGTCTAACTTTTCCCCCTGAATTTAGCAAGTTGCATGTCATAAGCTAACATCAGTGACTGGGCCATGGAAGAGGGGGCATGGTTACACCAAGTAACTTGAGCAGATAGACTGGAATCATAAGATGTGGTGCTTTTGCCTCAAATCCATCATTGACTCACTTTAATTTTCCTTTCTGTGCCCAGATTTTCACATCTTAAAAATGAGACCATTGTATCAACCCATAGCAAAAAATATTGTCAGCCCCCGGGAAATAAATGGCACTGCTCTGTATATGTGAAGGTTGTTCTGCCTTGGCTAGCCACTCTTGGCTGGTACTAGAGCACAGGGCAGCTCAGTAACTTGCAATTGCTACATTTTTCCAGCTCTGACAAAATTTGAGCAGCTTTTAGAAATGTGGTCACCAAATAACAGCTGAGCAATTCTCTTCTTGAGCCAAGCATAAACAAAATTCACAGAGAGAGAGAGAGAGAATTAGGAAGCCCTGGGGTCAAAGAAGGATTTTTCTCCTGCTGTGTTCTACACCGTGGGAGGGAAGAATTGGGACAAATATCCAGTGCTAAATAGGAATAAATAACTCCCTGGTTGAATTCTCTCACTTATTCTCTGTTTAGTTCCTGCTTTCCTTCTTATACCTTCTCACTCACTTAACATTATCATAAATAATTAATGTCTTAACAAATTAGTATTGATCAAGAACTCCCTGTGTACAGCTCCCTGAACAAAGCTTTAAAGAACACCATCTAGGAGAAGGAATGGGTTGAGTTCCTGGAGGGCTTGGCATGTTCGGTTCTAAAGTCAAGCCAACCTACTGCTCACATCCATCTTGCTTCCTGACTTGAAAGATGGACACACTTGGAACTTTTCTCCTCTGTTAGGGTAGGTATTCAGGGAGGTTGTTTGAATTGTGCCTTTACAACAAGGGAGATTAATCTGGAAAGAGAAGTCATCCCAATGAATGGGAATGAGAGGAAAGAAAGCTAGAAGGAGAATGGCAACTAAATGGGACAAAAGAAAGGTTTAGAGGAAGTGAGCCTCATTGTGTTACAGAAGATCTTTAAGGTGAGGCTACTCAACTTTCTTTCCTGTCGTTTTTTCTAACACTTCTTGATTAAGGCCAGGAAAAAATGCCAAGCATTTTTTTCCTCTACAGAGGAATTGATTCTGTCAAAGGTCTCTGATTGGGATTTTATGGGAGTCACTAGCTTCTATGGTTTCTGGCATCACCCTATCTGAGACCTTAGGAAGGGGTCACCCAGGGGAACAACATGGTTTAGGGATCATAACTACCCCAAGTTCCATCCTCTGGTTCTGATATTACTCAGTGACCTGAATTAACTCACAAGAAAGGAAATGAAGGCATTTTTCTCTATCAGTAAAATACTACAGGAAGATGACCAAAAGATGAAATAATTGAATGAGAAATCTACTTTCTTACGTAACTCCATTCGAGTCAAAATTGGTCATATCTGGAAACTGGACCTCAATTCTAAAAGGGCATTTGAGTTTACCTCTCATAAATAGGTCCCACAACTTTGTTAATAAAAATCAAAAGAAGCCTATTAAAAAACAAAAACAAAAAATTTCTCCCTGTGACCTTCTGTTTATATATAAAACTGTATTCCTAATGTCTCACTTTGGACTAGAAATAAAGAAGAGACATAAATAATGACCTAGGAGTTGTACTCTTTTTTTAATTAAAGAAGTTTCTAGAATATAAATTTTTTATGAGTCAGGCCTTATTTCTGAAGTTTCTGTTAAGTTCTTTAATTCCAGTGGCCCACACATGGTTAAAACATAGAGTGGAACAGCAAAACCACCAATAATATACCTTTGTATGTTAGAATAGGAGAGATATGTTACATTTCATTACTTAAGTAGAAATGTGATTTCTTAAAGGAGTAAATGATTAAAACAGGCAATACAAAATTAACTAATGGTGATGGGAGGCTTTTGGTAAAAAGCCAGATTTTTCCATTTTGATAGATCTGCCAGTTCTTATAGAGAACCAAATGCCCAAATCCCACACAGAAAGCTGTTTCTTGAAGGAAATATAGTATAATCCATTTTTCTTGAACCACTTGAAATTTTATCATACAAACTCCTGGGGAAATGTGCATGATGTAGTTTCTTGCTTTAGCAACCTAAGGCTCTCTTGGGTCTCTCTGCTTTGCACAGTACTAGGCAAGCTGTCTTTAATGAGCTCTAGGCATTTAAATCAAAGTACTTACTCTACTGATGGAGAAGACCATGCCAGGCTTGCCAGAACAAACACCCATAAAGCAATGCCGGAACTGCCAATAGAAAAGGTGTTCGCAGATGAAGGTGATGAGACTGAGAGCCATGGCCGCTCCCAACATATAGAAGACTCCTGCCATGTTGTCAATGTCCAGTTGGCTGCTCATGACCTCATTCTTCTCATTATGGCAAATGCCAGTGAGCCAGAGAGCTTCCAGTTCTTCCATTTCCCCTGGAGACAGGATAGAGAAGGAAAACAGATAAAGAGAGACAAGAGGAGAATAGTAGAGAAAAGAAGAAGAGAGGGGTATTGGGGAAGAAAGAGAAAATCACAAGAAAGAGACAAGGAGACAAAGAAAATAAATAGAGAAAGTGAATAGTCATTTTATTAATGCCATTACACATTGATTCATCAATCAACTCAATAAGTATTCAATGAAAATTTAATGTGAGTACTGCAGGTGACAAGAGCCATTGATTCTGTTGTCCATTATCTATCTAACATAAAGTAGTATATAAATACCTAATATAGCAAGTTATATACAGGTAACAAGAGTTCAAAGTAGCGAGAGTAATTTTGTGAATAGAGTTGCCAGTGGGTTTTCATGAGGTAGGTAGGACTTGGAGGTGAGCATGTTGGATGGGTAAATTTTAATTTACATTGACAAAAAGGCACTCCAAGCAGCAGGAATACCATGATCAATGGGAAAACACAAGGCTTGTTTAGGGAAAGGCATGCAGGACAGTTCAAACACAATAACAGTTGGCAAAAGAAGCTGAATAAAAGAGATTAATGCAAGAGTGCTGAAGACCTGAGTATCAGACTAAGCATTCTACTCTCTTTATAGACAGTGGGAAACAACATAATTGAACAAGTGATTCAGAAAATCGCTCTTCAAATTGAGCAAAGCAGATTGGGTAGGGATAAAAGGGACAGAGAAAGATAGGCAGAGCGATTGATTGATTCCCTAGGGCCCTACAGATTTACTGATCTCTTGTTGCAGAGGAACACTGAAATATAAAGAGCAAAGAGGAGTAAGGTTGGGTAAAATAAGACCACCAAATACAGATCTGCTTCCTTTTAACATTGCTTAAGCACACATTGATTACTTTAATTCCTGTCAAATTTCAATGACCTTTATCCACTGGATACCAGGAAGTAGAAAGGTAGAAATTCCAGACTAACGGAGGGGAAAAATGTTCTCTAGAATGCATCTAATTCTATACAAGCAAAATTCTGAAAATCTCATGAAGAAAAATTGCCCCTTCCAATAGTTCTAGTGTGGTTAAAATTTGAGCTTTGTTTGCATAATCTGACTGAAGCTTTGGCAACTTTTGCAAATCATCTTTCTCATGGATGCGGTTTTCATTATTGCCTTTATGTGACAACTACACTAAAATTATAGAAGCTCTTATTACAAAACGACTTGTTAACACTCCATAGCACTTTCCTTTTTTCAATGTTAATCAAATCACTTTTTACTCATTTCTTTGATCAACCCTGCTCTCCTAACTAGTGGAACAGCCAACTTCACCTGAAGTCTAAAAATCCACCTGTGGTCTTCTGCTTCTGATCCCATCCATAATGGCAAAGCTTCTGCAGGTATAACTTAGAGAGCCACTTGGCTGATGGCTGGTGAAGCCAAGTAGAGTCTGGCTGCTCATCCGGAATTGAATTAGTTTCTATGAGACTAACAGAAAAAGTAGGTACTTTGGGCAGTGGAGTGAAGAGGGGTGAAGAAGACAGGAGTATAATTACATAGGAGATGAGATTTTCTCAACTCAAGGTAGCTGCTCAGTCTGCTGCCAGGATGACATTGGAGAATGACTGGTGGTGTCTGCTTCTGAGAACCCTAGCCCTGCCTTTTGCCTCTTTCAGCTGAAAGAGCAAGATGGGAGAGAGGGAAGACTAAAGAGATGTAGAATCATCATTAGGGAAATGCAAATTAAAATTACAATGAGATATCACCTTACATCAATGAGAATGGCCATTATTACAATTTTTTTTTTAAAAAAAATAGATGCTGGCATGGATACTGTGAAAAAGGAGTGCTGATACATTGTTGGTGGGAGTGTAAATCAGTACAGCCTCTATGGGAATCAGTATGGAGATTTCTCAAAGAACTAAAAGTAGATCTACCATTTGATCCAGAAACCCCACTACTAGGTATGTATCCAAAGGATCAGAGGTTATATTCAAAAGATACTTGCACTCACATGTTTATCGCAACATGATTCATAATTGCAAAGACACAGAATCAACCTAAATATCCATCAGCTGATCAGTTGATAATGAAAATGTGGTATATATACACTATGGAATACTATTTGGACAACAAAAAGAATGAAATAATGTCTTTTGCAGCAACTCAGATGGAATTGAAGATCATTATCCTAAGTGAAATAATACAGGACAGAAAACCAAACACTGCATGTTATCACTTATAAGTGGGAGCTAAACTAAGGATCTGCAAAAGGCCTAGAGGATGATATAATGGACACTGAAGACTCAGGAGAGAAAGGGGAGAAAGGGTGGAGGGATGAAATCTCACCTATTTGGTACAATGTACACAGGTAGGAGTGGTGGGTACACTTAAAGCCCAGACTTCTTTGCCACTATACAATGCAACCATGTAAACAAATATTATTTGTACCCTCTAAAGATATAAATAAATAAATAAGCAAATAACTAACTAACTAACTAAGTAGATGGCTACAAGTTTATTTCTCTGGGCACATAAAGATCAGAGACTTTGCACAGTTTCATCTACTATTTTGGCCACATGTGAGATGATTTATTGTAGCATCTGATAGCAGACTCTTCTACTTTATTCCTGGAGGTTCAGTTATAGCAGGCAACTCTGAAAAATACCTCCTTGACAAACACTTTCATCCTCTCCGCCTATCTTTCTCCCTGTTATGGGTTGGAAGATGTGGTGTTCAACTAAAATTCATATGTTGAAATTCCAGCCCCTGGTACCTTGAGATGGGACTTCATTTGGAAATAGGGTCATTGTAGTTGTTATTAGTTAAGATGAGGTCATCTGAGAGTAGAGTGAGCCCCTAATCTAAAATGACTAGCTGGTATTCTTAAGAAACAGGGAAATTCAGACACAGACACATACAGAGGGAGAATGTACACACTAGTAGCACACTACGCAAACATGAAGGCAGAGATCAGGGTGTTGCTTCTACAAGACAAGAAACATCAAGGATTACCAGCAAACTACCAGATACTGGGAAGAGTCATGAAACAGATTCTCACAAGCAGTCCCCAGAAGGAACCGACCCTGCTGAAACCTTGATTTCAGACTCCTACCCTCCAGAACTGTGAGATAAGAACTTTCCGTAGTTTAAGCCACTCAATGTGTGGCACTTTTTTTGTGGCAGCAACAGGAAACTAATAAATACTCCCAAACTTCCCAGTATACTATGAGAAGCTTTTCTGGAAATGCACAGGTTAAAAAATGGAGGGGAAGAAAAGACTGATGTTTTGGACTAGCCATCGGTAGAGGACAAATGGGCATATTTCCTTTCTTGAACTCACCATCTCCAAAGAGCTGCAGGATCGCAAGATCCACCTGGCGCTTCCACCCAGAATCTTTTTGGATGGCAATGCCATAACCAGTGGAAGCAAAGACCTTCCCACTGCCAATAGTCACCAGCTTGCAGCCTTCATCTCTGCCCGCCATATAGTTCAGCACTGCTGCATCATAGATGAAGGCATCCAGTTTCCTGCACAAGAAAAAAAAGCAAGCAAACAAAATCCAGTGGAGGAATTTTAGAACAAAACTACCTAGGGGGCCATTAATATGAAGCAGTAGGGTTCCAGAAAACTGTGGGGAGAATTTGTTCAAAGTGAGGTTTAAGTTGAAACTTTGCCAGAATCTAAAGCCTAAATCTCAGGCTGTTCTTTATGCGATCTGAGATTGAAAGGAGGAGTTCTTTTCCTCCCACCGGGAATGATGAGAATGTGAGTTGGGCCTAGAGCCAACTCATAAGCTGTGGCTGAAAAGGAGACGGAGTCAAAAGGAATCAATAAAAATAATAACAGAAATAATGAAAAGTAACCACCACAACGAGCAACAAATAGCATGGGTTAGATTTATATAACATTTTTCGTGTCTCAGTTCATTACAGTCCAGAGTGGGGATGAGTGTGGGTGTTTGTGTTTCAATAGACATGCAATGCTATTTTTGTGGTCTGAAAGGTTCCAGTAGTCTGTTGTGCAGCACAAGAATAGAGGTGAGGGGCTGGGGTGGTGACAGCACAGGCTTGTGTCAGAGCAAATGTGTGCAACCACAAGAATGGAATTTTCTCAAATATATAAACTATAACATATAGTTCCTAAACATATAGGAATCTCATTTCATGTATTGTGCTTTTCCAGGAAGACATACATAGGGGAAGGAATAAGATCAGGAGTGGTGGCAGGAAGATGTCAATCAATACTTAGAACAAACTTTTAAAAACGTATCAAAAGTAGAGGAAGAAATTCAGATATAGCCACAAGGGTAATAGAGAGGTCTGCAAAAATAAAAGCATTGCATCATCCCCTTCATTTTTATAAGTTAAATAACTTTGTTCCTTGTTGAGAAAAACAAAACAAAAGTCAAGTCCTTTCTGGCATGATGAGACACCAAACATTTTATAAAAATTACCTTTTTGACACATCAAAAAAACCAAAGCTCTGGTATGAATGAGAACAGTGGGTATAGAAGGTGTCAGATTCCCCAAAGTGGTCCTACCCCCAAGCTCAAATCTCGTCTTCTGAAATCTCCTGTGGCTTTATTTGTGGTAATAAAATAGAATCTATTTTAAGTAATCATGTGTCTAGGTGGCTCTTCCAGACCTGGAGCTACAAGGGCATTAAGAGGAGGTTTGAGTGCTGCTAGTCATCATATAACAAAGGAAATAAACTAAAAGACCCCTGGGCCTACTAATCTCAAAATCTTGAATGCTCCATTGTCTATCATCTTCCTTCTGGAAGCCAAATGAACAAAGGGACCAGCATGACTGGGACTATGCAAGCCAATAAACTTGTAGTTTATGAGTTCCTTTTCATGGACAAATACTCCTGAGGATGCAGAACTGGATCACAGAGAATGCCAACATAAGCTGGAACTGGAGATCAGTCAACACATTCCTCTAAAAACTTCTATACTTTTGTCCTTCTGTTTCTTTCTTGTCCATAAGGTACCAGAAGCATCATTTTTTTTTTTTTTTTTTTTGAGTTGGAGTCTCACTCTGTCACCCAGACTGGAATGCAGTGGCCACTCCCGGCCACCGCAGCCTTGACCTGCTGGGCTCCGGCAATCCTTCCACCTCAGCCTTCCAAGTAGCTGGAACTACAGGCGCGCGCTACCACGCCCGGCTAATTTTTGATTTATTGTAGAGATGAAGTCTCACCAGGTTGCCCAGGCGGGTCTCGAACCCGCGGACTCAGGCAATCCACTCACCTCAGCCTCCCAAATGCGTGGGATTACAGGCTGAGCCACCGAGCCCAGCAGAAGCATCATTTTCACCTCTTAGACAGCAGGTCTTTATATTATACATAATATATAAACCTTATACTTGACTCTTCTTATTTTATATCTATTTAGTTTCTATTTCCTGGTTACATTGGTGCAAGTAGAAAATAATTTGTAAAAAAAAAATACACAGGAGTATAAATAATAGCATGGAAGTCTTTGTACACTGACCTAAATTATACTAGCAAATTTAACTTGGAAACCTATAAAGAGCAGATAAAGTTTTTGATTTAACTTTTTATGGCACCAGGCATTGTATACTAGGACATCTGATTCAACATATGTTTAATAAATGTGAGAACCATATCAAGTCCTCTGAGCTTGGAAGCACATCTTACCCAGTTTTCAGGGAGAGCAGTGCATCATCTACACCCCTCTGGTTGAACTTCCCCATGTAGGCATGCATTTCTGCATAGTTATTGCGAATATTCCTCTCCGTGCTGCCGTTGGGCACAGTCCCAAAGCGGAAAGGGGGTGAGAAGTCATTAGGTCTCTGGAACTGGAGAGAGAAAGAAACAGAGAGAAAGAGAAAGAGAAAGAGAAAGAAAGCACTTTAGAAAATGTGAAGAGTTAGCATTAGTGGCTTTATAATGGAAGGGATTCAACTATAATTCACCAAATACATTAGCCCTCACTCAGGAGCAGCAATTGCCATCTGAAAGTGGACTTCGATTCAACTCAGTTGAATACATATTGTTCAGAGATTTTTATTTGCCCAACCCTGACTTTAATCTAGAACACTTGTGTGGTCCTTTTGTGAACACTGAACAATACCAGTGATGATGGGACAAAAAGGAATGTGCTGTTAGCTAACTGCAGTGGACTAGACACTTTTATTTCTAAAAAGTATGTAAAATCCGCATCAGGCCTTTTCATTTAAGGGCCTAAAATACATCGTCATTGCACTATTAAGGCCACAGGACCTTAGTAAAGTGAGTTATGTTACACTCCTGAAGATAATTTGTTGAGTTAGCAAATATATTTTTCTAAGAAATTTTTCCTTGACTTTCCCTGATGCACTCAAAGCTCATATTTATCTCACATGAGCTGTAGGATATATTGTCAGATCAAGGCAGTTTTAATTATGCTCCCCCTTGCTTGAAAACTGAGAGTGGATCTCCAGTGCCTCTCATAATAAAGTGAAACCTCTTGGATTCTTACCCCTATGCCATCAGTATTATTTCTCGCTATTATCTTGCAATGAATACATCTTTATGTTACTTCCCGAACACATAATTTGTTCATTTGTATCTTACCAGCCTCATAGAGTTCATTTCCTCAGCACAAACTCACCTTTCTCTCTAGGCCAATTCATGACTTCAGTTTCAAAACAGAACTCAAAACCATTTCCTCAGAAAACCTTCTGTGAATTTTTCCTTCCATCAAGTCATCCCCAAAGTGACCCATCAGTACTTGTTATTCTTGGTTTAGATCATTAGAGTTCATGCTGCAAATCCAATTACTTTCTAAATGTGCTGGCTAAGTTAAGAGAGCTAGTCTCTGATGTCTTTTTTTTGAGATGGAGTCTCACTCTGTCGCCCAGACTGGAGTGCAGTGGCCACTCCCGGCCACCGCAGCCTCGACCTGCTGGGCTCCGGAGATCCTTCTGCCTCAGCCTTCCAAGTAGCTGGAACTACAGGCGCGCGCTACCATGCCCGGCTCATTTTTGATTTATCATAGAGATGAAGTCTCACCTGCCCAGGAGGGTCTCGAACCCACGGGCTCAGTAATCCACTCACCTCAGCCTCCCAAAGGTGCGGGATTACAGGCTGAGCCACCGAGCCCGGCTGTCATTAAGAGTTTAAGTTCTAGATTGAAATCGATATGGATTAAAGAATAGCTCTACCACTTACTATTGTGTGATCTTGGGCAAGTAACATACGTTCTCTGTGCACGATTCCCTCATATGTAAGGAGGGGTGATGGTGCCTAGTTTTCAAGATTGTTGTGAGGATTAAATGGCATAATGCATAATAAGTGCTTGGCACAGCACCTGATCTCAAAAACTGTTCCCGTCTATAAGTTTAAATTCAGGTCCATATTCTTTATTTCCTAGTAAACTTCTGGTTCTCCAAGTCTCTCTTTCTATTAGTACAGCAATGATCATTGTAGCTTTGCTGTGTTTTGCAATAGAAAAGACAATGAAGCCATTTAAAGTCCTCTTGGTTTCAATACTGGACCTTTACATTGGAAATATATTCGAAAATCTAACCTGCCAAATCAAGAAAACTTTGAGCCTTTGGGATTGCCTGGGTTTAGAAATAATTCATTTCTTTGTCAGAATATGGGAGTTTCATGGTTCACAAAATGTCACATCACCAGGAACCATAAATACCATCTTAATTGCTCAGGATTGGCCATGGATAACAGTAGAGTCATGCAGTAGTGTTAGGCAATCTGTGATACATCCAAAGACTACTACTTCTTGATGAGAAAAGCTCCCCCTTTGTTTCATCATAGTGCTTTTTGCCATTAAGAGTTTTTGTTTGGATATTTTTAAAGGGTGGTGATTTTTTTAAGCGAATAAAGGTACCACAAAAGAGTAAGAAAAATTCAGAGCTGAACGGGCTACTCAAGGTCAACTAGTTCAAATCTTTCATTTCACAAATGATAAAACTGAGGCCCAAAGAGGGTAAGTAATTTGTTCAACATCACACAGTGGCAGTGATAGCTAACATTATCAGTTACTCTTAATTAATATTACTTTTCACTGTCCCTAGCAGATAGCAAGCTCAAAGTAAACACAGATATGCTTTATTGGAAGAGACAGACACAAAAATGCTTTGCATATCACTATCAAGTCTGACACTTCAGATGTTTGAAGGAAGGTATTCCCCAAATCAAAAGTAGAGTAAATACTATGGTAGACAGCAGTACAACCAATTAGCTCCTTTTAATCAGTAATTTCCCACTCTGTTAGGACAATGACAACTGATGCTTACAATGACTAAGATACTCCAGGGCCCAAAGTATTTCCTGAAACATCAATGAAAGTTGTAATTATGTTTAATATAATTCTGGTATAAATTATTATGCTCTAATTTTTCTGAAAATTGCAAATCAGTGCAAGGTGTATGCAATAATTTTTGAATAACCAAATGGAACCCAGTACACAGAAGTGCCTCGCTTCCTGGTGAAGCTACATTATAGAAAGTTTCCATACAGCTTTATAGTAACTTTTATTTTAAAATTACCTTTATATTTCTGAATGCTGTTTTATGATTGCATTTCTAAGTAAATAAAAACTAAAGAAATGATAAAGGATCTAGAATAGCCAAAAAAGAACTGTGAAAAAGAAGAACAAAATTGAAGCACTTATTCCATCTGACTTCAAGATTCATTATAAAGTTACAGTTTCCCGGCTTGGTGGCTCAGCCTGTAATCCCGCGCTTTTGGGAGGCTGAGGTGAGTGGATTGCCTGAGCCCGCTGGTTCGAGACCCGCCTGGGCAACTTGGCGAGACCTCATTTCTACAATAAATAAAAAAAAATCAGCCAGGCGTGGTAGCACATGCCTGTAGTTTCAGCTACTCGGAAGGCTGAGGCGGAAGGCGTGCCGGAGCCCAGCAGGTCGAGGCTGCAGTGGCCGGGAGAGGCCACTGCACTCCAGTCTGGGTGACAGAGTGAGACTCCAACTCAAAAAATAAAATACAATGAAATAAAGTTACAGTCATCTTGACAGTGTACATTAGTATAGAGGTAGATAAAGAGATCACTAGAACAGAGTGCCTGTTAGTAGACCCACACATATATGGTGCAAAGGCAATTCAGTGGAGATAGGATGATCTTCAGCAAGAGATGTTGGAATAACTAGATGTTTTTACACAAGAAAAAAAAATTAATTCCACACTTCACAAGATATACAGAAATTAACTCAAAGTCAGTCACGTACCTAAAATGTAAAGCCTAAATTCATAAAACTTCTAGGAGAAGATATTTGTAACCTTCAGTTAGGCAGATATTTCTTAGATATAACACCAAAAGCACACACACACACAAAGAAAAAAGATAAATTTAGTTTCCTCAAAATTAAGAACTTCTCTTTGAAAGATGCAGTTAAAATCATAAAAAGACAAGCCACCAACTGGGAGAAAATATTTGAAAATAAATTAAAACTATTAAAAATGAAAGGAATTAGATAATAACATAAGAAGACTTATACAGTTAAAGCATCCTCTGTAAGAAAAAAATCAGAGAATGAGAAGAATGGGAAGACACAGTCCCATAGAAAGTCCTGCTCTCACAGAGAATCTGAATTTGAATTCCAGTTCCATCTCTGGCCCGCTGCATGAACATGAGCAAGACACTTTTCTGGAAGTAATATTTTAATAAATAAGATAGTATGTAAAAAAAAAAAGTACTTAACACAATATCTGACACATAGTAGATTCTCAAAATTGTTAGCTACTTCTGTGAGGATGAAGTTCTAATATCTCAAATTGTCCTGTATAAGGCAAAGTTCCCTAAGATTGAAAACTCTTATTCTCCAATGTGTTCTTTAAACTAGGCCAGTCTAGGGGCCAACAGGGAGAGCATGTTGCCCCAGAATTAGTCAAAGCAGTGAACGTGACTTTTTCTTTGAAAATTCTTGTCCCAGCTTGGTAAGATCTGTGATGTTTAAATAAAACACAGCCTTGAAAGAAATACAAAAAACTATCATTGGAACTTGAACTTCACTAACATTCGCGTCCACTGTGGGGAGAAGGGAAAAATAATCTTTCAAATACATTGATGCTTCCAATAAATGCCCTTGTAATAAAACTTACTCCAAGCTGTAAGGCATTATATGGCACTTGTTTAACCTGAGTGGCAATCGATGCTCTCTAGGGTTTTGGGAAGGAGTAAAATTTAGTACTATCAAGAACTAGAATGTCTTAAAATCCATGGAACAGGGAAAAACAAATTTAAAAAAAAATTTAAAAGCCTAATATATCAAAGATACCAGCAAATGGATTCAAAAACTCAGTCTGATTTCAAAGTAGGGAAATGTATACAAAACTCTTTGTTAATCAACTTTTGGCCATCATAGAGCTTCCCTGAATTTGACAACTTTTTCTAGGAGTCACCAGATTGAGATAATCAAAACAAAGATTTGGATAGGGAAATAACAACAGAAGGGAAGGAACCCTAGGGATCGTTCTCCATTACATAGATGAGGGGACTGAAGCCCTGAAGAGGTCAAGTAAGTTGTTAAAGGTCTCCTTGTGTAGCAGGAAGACAAACTGAGACTTGTTCCCTGGGTACTGGCCTTCCCATTGCCAGCTCATATACTAGCAGAATAGTCCTACTCCAGCTAACTGGGAGTAGCTAACTGGAGTCACATGCTGTAAGCGGGGCCACGTAGCAAGGGCATCCTTCCTTTCCTGGCAAATCAAATGCCAACTCCCACCCTTCCCACTGGAATCAACACATGGCTTCCAGCAATTACTCTAAGCGCATATTTGCACAAGGGCAAAACAATGCCAGAATGTTAAGAGAACTGTAATCTCAGCTGATCCTCCT